TGTATCCAATTAAAGGTTAATATGTCTGTATATATTTACTAGATACATCACTCAAATATTTGAGAATTCCATGAGGTAAATATCTTGAGATTTCATTATTTCCATGAATGTGTGCAATAATAATTTAGTTTCTGCCTTTATGCTATGATAATTTTCATTGTAAATTTAACAACTTACTAACTGGATCTTTTGTATTATTAATTTTTAAGGAAACAAGTCATTATTACTCAAAAGCCATTAAAATATTGAGGTAATAAGTCTTAATAACTTCCTATTAAATATATCTGTATATGAATTTCTGCATTTAATTAGCAATTATTTAGTAAGTACAATAATTTAGGAAGTAGTTAAGATTACCCAATTCTCATTTGAGGAATACTAACGTATCAAACTCTGCAGGTTACGAGCTAATGTTGGAATGTTAGTAGCCACATAGTATTTATTGTCATCTATACCAAGAAATTAACTTTCCAAAACACATTGAAATATATGAATATATATGGAGATGAAATTCTAAACAGTCTTATTATATAAGAAACAGAGCCAAAATAAGAGTTAAAAGCCCAGAGATAAGAGCAGTAGCCAAGAGCTAAGATCACCTTATCTTACCACTCGCTGCTGTTCTTCCCCTGAGAGAGCTTCTTCCTGTGTCCTGTCCTTTTATTGACTTTCCGTTCTGCCTTCTCATTGGTTGTAAACCCAACCACATGACTTCCTCATCACTGCCTGTCTATACAGACCTCCAGGTCTCTGTGGTTGGTACTGTGATTAAAGGCATGTGTCACCATGCTGGCTGTGTCTTTGAACACACAGAGACTTTGCCTGCCATGCGATCAGACTAAGGGCATGTGCTACCACTACCAGACTTCTGCTTAATGGCTTGCTCTTAGCTCTGATCCCCAGGCAACTATATTTATTAACATACAAATAAAATAACATTTCAGCATAAATAAAATATCACTATAAATATAACATTTTGGTATTGTATTTTTCAAAAAAATACCTCCAAGTGCAATACAGAGCTTAGGAAAATAAATAGTGGATTCTGTATTAGAAGAAGTACCCAAAGAAAGCATACATAACAAATGGTTGCAAAGCAAAAGCAAATTGATCATTGAACACAAGACAGAGATATCTGCTCACATATAGTGCACAAACTCTTTCCAAGTTTGCTTTTATCTATTTTTCAAACCTATCTATGGACATAATGAATTAGTCTTTTTGAACAGTGTAACTATTATGAAACGTGATAATTAGTCAAGCATGAGGAATATTGTTTTAATTCCCCTGAAGAACTTAGAAACAAGAAGCTGAAAAGATGTTTAAACAGGTCACAGATATTTTTTTTCTGTATGCTTTGTAGAAAATCTAATATCCCATCATTATTTGTTCAGTAGGTTTCCTTATTTCTTGTCATCTTTACCTATTTGCCTTTAATAATCTAAGTGTATTTTCACCTCACATACATTACACATGTGTTTATCACTTCCTTAAAGTTGGCTCCCTAAATAATAATGTGGCAGACTTCCTAATCTGAGCTTTGGGAAAACAAACCAAAACCAAAACAAACAAACAAACAAACAATCAAACAAACACTGACTTCCCTAGTACTACAAATTGCATTCACAGGTGTTTTCTTCCAAGGAGTGAAAACTACAAGACAGAGAGGATGTATCTAGAAAAATACTGCTAGGATAAATAAATTCATAACATATGTATTTTATATGCCAGTTTATCCTATTATAATACATAATCTAGAGGACAGTTGAGTGGGTATCATTACTTAGGAGAACAACCACCCATGACCCTAATACATTATCCACTTTTTTAAAACAAGATTCAGCAATGCTTACTTGCCGCAACACAGTTTTATATCTTCATTTATAACTATAAATTATTAATATCAGCAACTATATATTAAACTAAAATCTACATATAAAAGTATAAATGCTAGAAACTAGAATGAGTTATCTTGTATTTAACTCATGAGATTTACCTTTGTAGTTAATGTATGGAATCTGGAAGGTGGTAAAATTATTGATTTTTAAAAATTTATTCTATATTTATTGATTTATTTTTAATTAATTTAATTTATTTTAATTAATTTATATTTTTATATCCCTACCAAAGTTTCCCTTCTCTCCACTCCTCCCAGTCCCTCTTCAATACACTCCTCCTGCTATGTTCTGTTTCTCTTCACAAAAGGGCAGGCCTCCTATGAATATCAGCCAGTCATTATATATCAAACTGCAGTGAGACTAGGATCCTCCTCTTCTATTAAGTCTGTATGAGGCAACACAGTAGGAAGAAAGGAACTCAAAAGCAGACAACAGAGTCAGAGACAGCCCCTGCTGTCACTGTTAGGTGTCCCACAAAAAGACCAAGTTATACAACTGTAACATATATGCAGAGCGCCTATACAGGCTCCATGGTTTTCATTTCAGTCTCTGTGAGACCCTTAGCCCAGATTAGTTAATTCTGTGGGTTTTCTTGTGGTATCCTTGACCCCATTGGCCCATACAATCCTTCTTCCTGCTCCTCCACAGGATTCCCCTAGCTGTGCTAATGTTTGCCTGTCGGTCTCTGCATCTGTTTCCCATCAGTTGCTGGATGAAGACTCTCTGATGATGATTATGCTAGACTCCAGTCTATGAGTATAGGAATCATTTCATTGACATTTTTTCCAGTAATGTGTGGCTCTATACTAGGTCTCTGGGCTTTCCTGCTTCTGGGTCCTGGTGCTCCAGGCAGTTTCAGGGATCATGTCATGGTGTAGCTCTCTCAAGCTGAACCAGTCATTGGTTGACCACTCTCACAATTTCTGCTCCATCTTTACCCCAGCACAAATTAGATAGGACAAATTATAGGTGGAAGGTTTTGTGGTTGGTTTGGTGCCCCAATTCCTCCATTGAAAGTCTTTCCTGCTTACACGAGATGGCCTGTTCAGGCTCCATATCCCACATTGTTAGGACTCTTAGCTAAGGTCACCCTCACAGATTACTGTGAGTTTCCATTGAACTAGGTTTCTAGCTCTTCCCAGAGAATCCCTCAGATTCGAGTTATCTCTCCCAGTACCCTCTTCCTCCAAAGTTCTTCAAACTGATCTCTCCTGTTTCCATCCTCACCCCATCCAGAACCCACACTCCTGTCCAATAGCGATGACCATTCTATTTCCTCTTCACAGTGAAGTTTATTGATTCCCCCTTAAGCCATCCTTGTTACCTAGCTTCTCTGGGTCTGTAGATTGTAGCATGGTTATCCTTTCCTTTACAGCTAATATCTACTTATGAGTTAGTTCATACCATATTTGTCTTTCTGCATCTGGGTTACCTCACTCAGGATGATCTTTTTGAGTCTCATCCATTTGCTAGCAACTTCATGATGTCATTGTTTTTAACAGCTAAGTAATACTACATTGTGTAAATGTACCTCATTTTCTTTATCCATTTTTTGGTTGAGGGACATCTAGGTTGTTTCTAGGCACTGGCTATTATGAATAGAGGTGTTATGAACATATATGAGCAAAGATCCTTGTGGTGTGGTAGATAGTCCTTTCTGTATATGCCCAGGAGTATTATAGCTGATTATTGAGGTAAAAGATTGGTTCCTAATCCTCTGGGGAACTCCTAACATACTGATTTCCAAAATAGCTGTACAAGTTTGCACACCCACCAGCAATAGAAGCATGTTTCCCTTGGTCCACATCATCTCATCATGAGCTGTCACTTGTGTTTTTGTTCTTGGCTATTCTGATAGGTGTAAGTTGGAATCTCAGAAACATTTTGATTTGCATTTCACTAATGGCTAAGGATGTTAAACATTTCTTTAAGTGTTTCTCAGCCATTTGATATTCTTCTGTTGAGAATTTTCTGTTTAGATCTCTACCCCATTTTTTTTATTTGGATTATTAGGATTTTGCTGTTTGGTATTTTGAGTTCTGTATATATTTTGTATATCAGACCTCTGTCAGATGTGGGGTTGGTGAAGAACTTTTCCCATTCTGTAGGCTGCTGTTTTGTCTTATTGGCAGTGTCCTTTGTCTTACAGAAGCTTTTCAGTTTCATGAGGTCCCATTTGTTAGTTGCAGATCTTAGCATCTGTGCTATTGGTGTTTTGTTCAAGAAGTTGTCTCCTGTGCCAATGTCCTCAAGGCTATTGTCAACTTTCTCTTCTATCAGGTTCAGTGTATCTGGTTTTATGCTGATGTTGTTGAGCCACTTATACTCAATTTTTGTGCATGGCGGTAGATGTGGTTCTATTTGCAATCATCTACATGCTGATATCTAGTTAGACCATCTCCATTTGTTGAAGATGCTTTACCTTTTCCATTATATAAGTTTGGCTTCTTTGTCAAAAATCAAGTGTCCACAGGTATGTGGATTTACTTCTGGGTCTTTGATTCGATTACATTTATCCACCTGTCTGTTTTATGCCAATACCATGTAGTTATTATTACAATTGCTCTGTAGCAGAGCTTAAAATCTGGGATGGTGATACCTTTTGAAGGTCTTTTATTGCACAGGATTTATTTAGCTATGCTGGGTTTTTCATTTTTCCATATGATGTTGAGTATTGTTTTTCATGGTCTGTAAAGAATTGTGTTGGAATTTTGATGGGGATTGCACTGATTCTGCAGATTACTTTTGCTAAAATGGCAATTGTTACTAAGTTAATCCCACCAATCCATGAGCATGGGAGATCTTTCCATCTTCCTCCAATTTCTTTTGTCAAAGACTGGGAGTTCTTGTTATACAGGTCTTTCACTTGCTTGATAAGAGTTACCCGAAGATAATTCATATAGTTTGTGACTATTGTGATGGGTATTTTTTCCCTGATTTCTTAGTCCATATGCCATTAGTATAAAGGAGGGCTACTGATTTTTTTTTTTAGTTAATCTTGTATCCAGCTACTTCACTAAAGTTGTTTATCAGCTGTAGGAGTTCCCTGGTGGAATTTTCAGGGTCACTTATGAATTTTTCCTTTCTAATTTGTATCCCCTTGAGTTCCCTCGGTTGTCTTATTACTCTTGCTAGAACTTTAAGTATTATATTGAATAGATATGGAGAGAGTGGACAGCCTTGTCTTGTTCCTGATTTTAGTGGAATTGCTTTAATTTTCTCTCCATTTAATTTGATGCTGTCTTGGTTTACTATATATTGTCTTTATTTTGTTTATTTATGTCCTTGTATCACTGATCTCTGCAAGAATTTTATCAGGAAAGTGTGTTGGACTTTGTCAAAGGCTTTTTCAGCATCTAATGAGTTGATAATGTGGTCTTTTTCTCTCAGTTTGTTTTTATGTTAGATTACATTGAGAGATGTTCATATGTTGAACCATCTCTGCACCTTTCGAATAAAGCCTGCTTGATCAGGTTCGATGATCTTTGCAATGTGTTCTTGGATTTGGTTTGTGAGTATTTAAATGAGTGTTTTTTTTTTTTTTTTTTTTTTTTTTTTTTTTTTTTTTGTTTTTTCGAGACAGGGTTTCTCTGTATAGCTTTGCGCCTTTCCTGGAGCTCACTTGGTAGCCCAGGCTGGCCTCGAACTCACAGAGATCCGCCTGGCTCTGCCTCCCGAGTGCTGGGATTAAAGGCGTGCGCCACCACGCCCGGCTTTAAATGAGTGTTTTTGTACCTATGTTCATGAGCGATATTGGCCTGTATTTCTTTTTTGTTGAGTTTTTTTGTGGTTTGGGTATCAGGGTAAGTGTGGCCTCATAAAATGAATTTGCCAATGTTCTTTCTGTTTATATTTTGTGGAATAATTTGAGGAGTATTAATATTAGCTCTTATTTGAAAGTCTTTTATAATTCTGTACTAAAACCCTCTAGCGCTGAACTTTTTAAAATAACTATTTCTATTTATGTTGCGGTTATTGGTCTATTTGTTTGTCTGATCTTGATTTAATTTTGATAAGTTGTACATATCAAAGAACTTGTTCATTTCTTTTAGATTTTCCAATTTTGTAGAGTACATTTTTTGAAGTATGACCTAATGATTTTCTGGATTTCCTCAATGTCTGTTGTTATTCCCCTCCCCTCTTTTTCCTGATTTTGTTAATTTAGATATTCTCTCTCTCTGCCTTTTAGTTTGGATAACAGTTTGCCTATTTCATTCATTTTCTCAAATAATCAACTCTTTGTTTCATTGATTCTTTATACTGTTCTATTTGTTTCTATTTTATTAATTTCAGCCCTGAGTTTGATTATTTCCTGCCATCTAATTCTCCTGCTTTTTTTGTTTGTTTGTGTGCTAGTATGACATCTTTCCAAATGCTTTACAATGACAATTTAGTGCTATGAACATTCCTCTTAGCACCACTTTCATTGTTTTGCATAAATTTGGGTATGTTATTCATTCATTTTCATTGATTTATAGGAAGTCTTTAATTTCTTTATTTCTTGCTTGACTCAATGGTAATTCAGTTGAATATTGTTCAATTTCCATTAATTTGTAGCCTTTCTGTTGTTGAAATCCAGCATAATCCATGGTGCAGGGTGTTATTTCAATTTTCTCATATCTGTTGAGACTTGCTTTGTGACCAAGTATGTGTTCAATTTTGGAGAACATTTCATGAGGTGCTGAGAAGAAAGTGTATTCTTTTGTGTTTAGGTGCAATGTTCTCTAGATATCTGTTGGGTCCATTTGAATAATAACTTCCGTTAGTTCCAATATTTCTCTGCATAGTTTTTGCCTGGATGATCTGTCCATTTTTGAGAGTAGGGAATTGAAGGCTCCCACTGTCAATATGTGAGTGTTAATGTTGATTTAAGCTGTAGTAGTGTTTCCATTACAAAAGTTGGTGCCTTTGTGTTTGGAGCATAGATGTAGAAAACTGAGATATCAAAATAGTGAATTTTTCCTTTGATGTGTATGAAATGTCCTTCTCCATCTCTTTTGACTAATTTGGGTTTGAGAACTTTCTGTTAGATATTAGGACAACCACACCACCCAACTTCTTGGAGCCATTTGCATGAAAATAGTTATAGGATGATAACCTGACTTCAGGTATGGTAGAAGGCTTCTTCTGCCTGCTTTTCAGGGAGTTGTCCTAGCCTCTGGGTTTCAGAGGACTGGCCTGGCATCTGAAGGGATTGGAAGGTTTCCTCCAGAGGTGTGGGGCCAAAATATGGTGATGAAGAGATGAGGAGCAGTTGGATTTTATCTGGGTCAGCACAGGCAGCATGAGGGGCAATCTTACCTATTGCTTAGAATGCTGGCCTGGCCTCTGATGGAAGATGAGGCTTTTGCTGGAGTTGTGAGCCAGGTAAGATGACCATATCACAGTTTTAATAAATGGCATTTCTATACACTAAGACGCAAGCTTGTATTCAAGAGATGGAATAGATTATTGAGGATATTTGCTTACTTAAAAATGCTTACTCTTTCAAATGGAAAAAGCTTTGGTAGTGGGGAAATTATCACTTTTTACTAAAGGGAGGATGAAGAAAGAAATGATGAAAAATTGAAGTAAATGAGCCAGAGGAAGAATGCACAAACTTGGCCAAGAGTCAGAAAGTAGACATCTGGGCAGGCTAAAATCATCTTTTTGATATTCCTGACATGGGATATATATTTTAATAACTTAGTGGACACCATAATATGTCATCAATTCAGTCAGTTCATTTTAATGTTGCATCAGTTTTGAAAAGAAATAATATTCACTTTCAATGTCTTGTACTATTTCACTAAAATAGATCCTTTAAAATTCTTATGAATTAAACTTCATAGTCAAGTGGCTGACTCATCGGTATATATAACATAGTGGTTTGGATTTATATTCTTTGTTGTGCTGAAGATGGAATGAAAGACATTACATGGACCTACAACTGAGGTACAGTCTCAGCTATTGGCTACCATTTTAAGAACATCAGAAAGTAGCAGGAAGTAGACAATAATGTTTTAGAAAATATTTCTTGGGTGGATTTTAGTTTCAACATAATACCAGAAATGGATGAGGAGAAATATGTGATCCTTTCCTTAAATACTTTAAATCTTATTTTGACAACTGAAAATTTACATTGTATATATCATGCTAAGTCCAGTTATTCAAAATTCAAAAAATAATACTTATATTTTCAAAGAATTCACTTCTTGTATATGTTTTTTTTCACTTCTATATTTAGAAATCCTTTATTTTCCTCTTGTTCTCATTGCGTGGCATTGAGAAGATTCTTTTTGCAAGCTCTATATAAATTATATTTAGTTTCAAGGAAACTCTCCCTAGATATGGAAATTTGAATATGAGATTTTTCATTCATTTAAGAAGGATGGGAAAATATAGTAGAAAAAGCATTGGAAAAATTTCCATTCATCATGTTTTTCCATGGACTTTGAATCACAGATGGTCAAATCTGTAAAAGTCAAGGATAAGACAAAATCCCCCATTGAAAAACTCAAGGAACTCCACACCTTGAAAGACAACATACAATTCTAGAAATGCATTGAACTAAATACTAGCATGCCTACATTTTTATTAAGAGTTGACAACTAGGGAGATAGCTTAGTCCAAAATGAAGCTGGTGTGCAAGCATTAGGACATGAGTGTGGATCCTAGTATCCATGTAAATAGCTAGGTGGTTGACACCAGTAAATTTAGCATTGGTCAGATAGAGATGTAAGATGATTGGAGCTCTCTGCTAATCTAGTAAAGCCACATTGGTGAGCCCCAGACACACAGATCTTGTCTGAAAACTGAGGTAGAGAGCAGGAGAGGAAGGTAAGTAACATTGACCACAGATGACCTCATGCATGCATGAACATAAACATTTTGCAGATATACAGGGGTGCACATACATACCACATACACACACTAAGAAGTTGAAAAAGTTGTCTGTGTGTTATAGACTTATAGGATTAATATTTTAAAATTTTTCACAATTATTTTTTTCTGATATCTTTGAGATTTACCACATTTTTAATTAGCTAAATTTATCAAAGAGAGTTTAATTTTATGCATGATTTAATTTGTTGATTATCATATTGAAACAAAAAATCCCAACCAAAGTTGGTAATGCTGAGGATGGGCTTTAAAAAGTTTTGACTATTTAATTACTAGAATTATTCACAGGGATAAGAAGATGAATAATTTCATATGGATGGGTCAATTTTTTTCACACATACAAAAATAAAAGTACGCATATCTTTTCACGATCTCAGAAACTTAGAAATGTGAATAACTATGAGACATAAATTATTACTTGTTTTGTTTTATTCTTATTTCCCTGAGAAGACACATCATATGCCAGTCATATGCTAAAGCAGCTGCCCTCTCACTTCATGTAGTTAAAATGTCCTTAGCACACACACATGCCTGTGCATGCACTCAAATTACTAATTGTTTTTCCCTCTGATTTTGGTTCTGCTTTTTACTAAATGTGCCCCTTACAATGTTACTGTATATTTGCTATTATTTTCCTTTTAGAACTTTTTTGTTGACACTTCTTTTGAATAAAAAAATGCTTGGTGCCAGATAATAGCAGGAGTATCATATACTTTGTAGTAGTCACAAAGTTTGTCTAAACTGTGTCACATTTCTTTTTATTGTAGGAACATTTTAATTAGTTGTACCATATAAAAATTATTAAATAAATAATATATATTGATAATAAGGTAATGCTATAAAGCAGATTCTAGAATTTATTGTGCTTGAATGACTGAGAATTTATATCCATTAAATAATATTCTTTATTCCTTCCTTCTTCCTGCACATGAAATCACAACTCTACACTCTGATTCCATGGTTTTTGATTTAGACATTTTTAAGAGTAGATTAATGCACTAATATTAAGTAAGATTTCTTTCCTCATAGTATCTTAGTAAAAATTAACTCAGCTGAGATGAATAAATATGTACTTGAGTAAATATAGTAGATATTACTTCTTATTGTATATAGAAGGTATTTGCAGTAATTGTATGTAAAATGAGTCTTTTTATACTAAGTTATTAGCATTCTTTAATTTTAATAGAGTATATAAAATTTAACTGGTAGAATTTTTGTACCAATGTAGTTTTTTTTCAATTTTAATAATGAGATCATTAGATTATTCTTTCTTAAAATAAATAACTTATCTTTATCATTTTCATGATTTATTTATTCTTATTTTATGTGCATTGGTGTTTTGCTTGTGTGTATATCTGTATGAGGGTGTCAGATCCCCTGGAACTTGAGTTATAGGCAGTTGTGAACTGCATTGCAGGTGCTGGGAACTAAACCCAGATTCTCCGGAACAGCAGACAGTGCTCTTAACCACTAAGCCATCTCTCCATCCCCTGGTTTATCTTAAAAAACTAACATTACTTAGGGTTCCTAAATCAGTTTCTTAGACCTTATATTTATATTTCATTTTATTGTAAAATTAATGTACTTTTAAGACAGATGTGCATGTTAAATATACTCCAATAGCATTTTTAGATACATAAGTGTATTTACAAATGACACATTATCACAGGAGTACTAAGAACTAGGCATAAAAATGAGTTTCTATGAGAAGCTTTTTAAATAACAGTATTATTAATAAAAAGTGTCTTAGTCAACTTCTATTACTGTAACAAATACCCTGGATCAGCCTATAAAAAGAAAAAATTTTGAGCTCATTCATAGTTTTGGAGGATCAATTAGCGCCATGAGTTGGGACCTGTGATGAAGCAGCTCATTGTAGTGAGAAGTGCTGGATAGGACAAGGATTCACATCTCAAGCCTGGAAATAAAAAAAAAACAGAAAAGAGAAAGCATCTTATAGTCCCCTTGCCAGGAATATCTACATTAATATAAATCATGCCACTGCACCCTGCCTATTAGAGATTTTGTCTGGGAAATAAAAATCAGCAAACTAATGACTAAAAATGGATCTTTAAGGGACATTAGGTTCAAAACTATAGAATATATTAAATGTATAAAAATTAACTGCAACTGCATTATGAATAATTTTGAAAACAACTAATTTGTGAGTCTTAATTTATATGTTCACATTTAACAAACCTATATTCAAGATATTCTATACAAAGGGCTATGCTTTCATAAACAGTTTCATTCATGCTTAACAATCTTTACAAAGTGAAAGAAATCATGATATTTTAATGACAGAAACTATAAGTTATACACTCAGAAAATAAAGGGAAATACAAAATATTTAAAAGTTAATGTTAAAAACTGAAGGGTTAGTGTAATTATGAAGAACAATTGTAGTAAATATATCAGCTGAAGAGTACAATGATATTTCTTGTTTGTTAGAAATTCACATGGCTTTTACCTTTTCATTTTTGATTTAATAGACAGTCTGTGGAAAATCGGACATTAAATTCCCATTTGGCACCCTGATTATAATACAATATTACAGCTTGTCTGAAAAATTTCACTTTGATGACTAAGTGAACCAATTCAAAATGTCTTTATTTTATTGATAATATCATCAGTGTCATTAATGCTAATTTTTTTTACTAAGAGTGATTAACTAGGTTTGGTGAACTGGGCCATTGAGGATTGAATTTGAAATCCGAACATTTGGCACTGAATATAATTTAATTGATTGTTGATTATTTAAACATTTATTAGGTTTGTATTATGTTCTGTATTATTTGGGATGCTGCTGGTTTCAAACCTACAAAAGACACACAGATAATTTATTGGGTTATTGAATAATAATTTCAGTGTTTGCTCAAGGGGTTAACATAGTTTTAGTATAGAGAAAGGATGGGCCTATTTTACTATTAATCTATGAGGCATACCCTCCATAATTGCCATGGTAATAAAGACTAGCTTCTTTCAGCAAGTTTTACTCCTAGTTTCTTTTCCAGACAGATACAGAGACTGTATATTCTACAGATAATAAACCAAAGCCCTGTTTTTTTTCTTATTGAATTTCTCCAATCGTATTTTGTCTGAGCACATCACTGTAGAAATATAGTTTGAACAATACCTAGGGTTTGCTCAAAAGCTATCTCACATCAAGAACTAAGGGAAAGATCAAGCCTATCTAAATCCCATAGATGTCATGCAGTGGAGGCATGATAGTAACATCATTGACAGTATATTTGTGCGATCTTCTGTAGTCCTTTTTGAATAGCCAACTTCGTAACACATTCTCCATATGTTTCTTTTTTAATCTACTTTCCAAATAACAGTATCCTCAAAAGATAATCTGAAATATTTTTACTGGTGGTTTTCAGGTCCCAAGTTGATATATTTGGGTGACAGGCTCTTTCAATAAAATATCAGTAGAGTGCTCTATGATCCACTGAGTTTTAAATTTTAAAAAATGATTAATTTCCATTACACTTAATCAAAAAAGGTTGAAAGAGAACTAGAAATCCTAAGTTTAAAATGTAAGACTTACATACTTGAAAGGAAAGGCAAAAACAAACAAAGCCTATATCTTATATTTTGAGAGAGTTCCTGCCTATTCTCTCCTTTGGTCATTAAGAACCCTCTCTAATATCTACCTTTATAATGAATGATATCTGATATTGTATTCTGGAAAAGTCAACGCCAATGCTTGGTGGCACACTAATGTTCTATATATTGTGTTGTTTGAGGGTCCTGCTATTTGTTATAAGATTGAAAATATGGTTGTATTTACTAGACTTGGGCTTTCTTGGAAATCAAGGCTTTCCTTTTAGCTTTTCAATATGTCTATGGCCTACTAAATAACATCAGCTTCTTTAATTTACACCTGAAAATGTGAAACAATTTGTAATTTTTAATAGTTTTCTGTTCTGTACACACCTCCTTGATGTAGGCAATATGCAGGGAAGGTTTGGGGTAGGATTTAGAGCCAATCTTCTCATTGAGCACAGAATACACAAGAGCTTTTCTTCATGGGAGAAATGTGATCATGATTGCCAGAAAAGGGATTTAAGAGTCCCTACAATTGAGCTTCTATTAGCAGTTGAGATTTTTTCCAACTTTTAAGAATATTGTCTTAATTCTTTGAGAATATCACACATTTATAGACTGTATATTGATCATTATTATTCCCATCCCATCTCCTCTCAGAGACTGTCAACATTACTCTTCTCCATTTCATGTATATACACTGCTCTTCATAGAGTATCCCAGTAGCACCAGGTTAAACAGATGGATTTTACAATGCCCCTGCTGTGTCTCAGCCTGCCTTCAGTCTCTCTGATTTCCTATTCTTCCTCCATCCTCACCTAGAAAAACATGTGGGTAGAAAAGGTATGAAGAGCATTTATTAGATAAATTAAAGTTTCATAAATTGTTATTAATAAGTTTAGTCTTGTCACAATTGGATTAGGTCTGTCATTTTTTTTCAGTCATGAAATGTTTACTAGGATGTCCATCTCATGATCCAATTGATAATTAAAGATGGAGATCAATCAAAATCAATATGAACTAGTTTTTTAATTAAAAATGAAAAAAGTTCAGAAATAAGGGAGTGAGATTTACATACTTCATGTAAGAGACAAATGGTTCCTCTCATATATCATTGTCATAAAAATGAAATGTGAACTTTGGCTTCTAAGTCCACTAATCACAATATATTAAAGTTCATATAGGAAACCATTGTTATTTTATATAAAATTTGATTTCATTATTTTCAAACATGACATACAGCCTATACTCATTAAAACATGCTTAATATAGGTTGAGTAATTCCTAATGAGAGCAGTATCTTTGAGACAGCATTTTATGATATGCCATACAGTTAAGCATATGCAATATTTTGAATCCTTTTTTGAGTACCTGCTATAAGGAAAGTGCTTTGCTAAGTGCTCCTATATATATGAAGATAAATATGAATCATAAAACAATGACACATTGGTGTTCAGAGTGTGCTTATTTCCAATATCATTGCATTTTTCTTTTCTGACATTTTTCACATTTTTAGAAGAAAACCCTGGAACTATTTTTTGAGAAAATATGTAAAATAATGATACCAAAACTCACCCAAGTTCATTACATACTATATAGGTTTTATAATGCATTAACCCATAGAATGTATTGTGGGGGGCCTACCCATTTTTTGTGGGAAGCCCACTACCACTTTTTCCCCAGGGTACTCTTGAGGAGGGAGAAGGGAGAAATATTTAGATAGAAGGGGAGAGGGGAGAGAACCAGATAGAAACACAGGATAGCCTTGGTAGGGCCTAGATCATTATCCACTGGCCCATTCTCTTTCTTCTAAAAGACCTTTTATAGGAATGCCAAAGGGTGAAGAAAAAGTTCTCCCCCTAGCACAGTCAAGTACAGACCCTCCCAGTCATCTGGTAACCACTCACATGGTCAAGCAATCCTCTAATACAGCCCTGATCGGTAAAGCAAGCTCAGATTTCACTAGGAAACCTTTGTGGGCCTCCACAACTCCCCCTTCTTGATATAATAAAGGGCCCCCAAGGTCCCGCAAATAGACTCTGCCTTTCTTAGGTCGTTCTTCTTGATTAATTTTACATACATACATACATTCAGGAAGCTATCAAGAGGAAAGGTGTCTGTTTTTGGCTTCCAGCCTCTGACAGGAAGGGGAATAGAGCTTACATCTGCTCTGACCCATGTCTCTACTTAGAGCTTGCAAGCATCCACAGCAATCTCCATAGCTGCCACACCTCCCAGTAAAGGAGTAGAGGATAATAACGATGGAATATTCTTTTTGGAATAGGTCTAAGATGAATACAGCAGTCTTAGCTGCACCAAACCTTTTTCTAAATCAACACTACCTCCTAAAAGATATTCAATAAAATTTTCAAGAGATTATTTTGATTCCTAGGAGAAAACAGTCATTTCAAAACTCTTCAAAGTATCCACTCAAGTAAACAAAAACCCATGTTAATTATAAGGACATTTTTAGCTGTTTAAGTAGCTCATATATCCATGTGTTCCTATTACAGCAGTAGAATTTCTGTATAAATTAACTTGATTGTGGGAGGCCTACCCCTCTGTGGGAGGCCTACCCCTGTCTAAACAGAAACAGAAAAAGAGTAGAAATGTTTAGGAAGAAGACAGAAAAGCTCTCCTAATTATAACACCTTCCCTTAAGTTTTCTAGGGGCCACTGAGATCATAAAATTATATTTTGAGCTATCATAAAAAGTATTCAAATATATCTGAAGGTAAAAGAGTAATAAAACCTTCAAGAGGCTTCTAATGTAATTGATTTGGTGTATTCTTTAAAAATAAATGTTACCTCATTTGTCTGGACTAGAGAGATATTGATGGAGTAATAAAAATAATTCTAGTATGAACATCACTATACATATTTATACTTTTTACAAGCTTCCATAAGCTTCCATTCAATATTTATACTTTTTACAAACTTACCTTCAACATTTACACTTTTTGCATATTTACATTTAACATATTTACAAGTAACATGAATATCATTATACAAATTTACACTTTTTACAAACTAAAAGGTAACTCTATAGAACTATTTTATAAACTTTAGCAAATATCTAGAAGAATCTCTTAACAGAACTAACATTCAAAAGCAAACTCTAGAGGACAGCTTTACAAATTTTAGCAAAGATCTAGAACAAATTACTTAGCAGAACTATTATGTTTTCTTTGAACAAGACAGAGTTCACAAATCATACGTTACCACAATTAAAACTGTAGGTGAATTCTAAACTGCTTCATTTTTAAAGTTTGTAGTTCATGGTTAGCTTTGAAATGAGACTCCTGTAGGTAGCCAGCAAGTTTCATTTGAGAATTAAGAGTACAATTTTTCCTTTCTTAATTTTTGGAAGCTGCTTTTTTAGACTGCCATGAACTCTTTCAATGATGCCTTGTCTTTAATAGACTTTTATTAACTCAAATGTTTCTGACAAGGTTATTTGTTCACAGAAACTGCTACTGTCCAAGAGTCAAGAACATAGATGTGTTGTCTTATTTATAATGAAACATGTCTTTTATTAGCTCACTCTGTGGGAGAACATTTTTATGATTTAGTATTTTTTCACTTAATTCACTAGCTTCTCAACCCCTGGTGCCATTTTACCAGTAGTTGTGATACACTCTGATCATACCATAGGTGTAGTTTTTCAAACTTCAGTACTTGGCACATTTTTCCTATTCTCACAAGCATCAGTACATTCACTAAGCAAGCATTATAATTTAGCATTGTTTTCTTGTAGGGAAATTTCAAGTGAAGTGACTATTTTGTAAGACAGCTAGATTTTCTGGAGTTTGGTCCCCATCTACTAAGCAGTCACTTCTTTCTGAATACATGCCTCCTTGTTCCCCCACTAGATTTGCAAAGGAATCACTTACTGCAGGCTGCTGTTCAAAAGGCAAAGAATTTCATTCAGAATGGCTTGAGAAGAATCATTAGCATTTTAATTGCCTCCTGACAGACATCATCACCTGTTACTCATTTTCAGGAAGTAAAGCTAATCTTTATAGCAGTGCTTGGGGTAAAAACAATGTTTTGAGTTGAAAAAAAAAAAAAAAAAACAGTCTTTGGTCAGCGTTTGAAAATTTTTGTCCCAGTCTATCTGCCTTTTCTCCAGGCCTGCTGGCTATGCCGCCTTGCTATTATGAACTACATTTCCCAAGCTGCCTTTCTCTATAGTGTCACACTGTTACAAACTACATTTCCCAAGCTGCCTCTTGAACTGCATTTCCCAGGATGCCTTTCTGGGACCAGGAGAAAACTCAGCTGCAGCCAATGGAGGCCATTACTCTCCCATTTTCATTCACAGGGTCAAAATCAAGTTTCTGCCCTTTTTATCATGGGAGTTTTTGAATCAAGATTAAGCTTTTCACCTGGCACCATCCAGGAACGGAACAAACCTGTCTGCATGCACTCAGATAGGTGCTTGTTGCCAGAAGTGAAAACTTCTTGGTGCTTCACTCCCCTAATTCACCAAGTCAGTGAAAACAATGAGAGCTTTTTTTCTGAGAAATTTTCCCCCCAGATAGATCTCCTGTGTTCCTGCTTGTGCCCTCCCCAAAGATGCAGAGTCCCTGATGCCACTGCTGTAGCTCAGAACCTACACTAAGAGTGCCATGCTCATCTCCCAAAGCTGGGCCCAATTAAGCTCTGCAAATGCTCTGCTCCTAGCTGTTTTTTTTTTTTTTCATTGCAGGGAGGTCCCAAAGCCTCCACTGCTTCCCCCATGCCAGCAGCCCCTCCCCAGGTCCTGTATAGTCTCTGCTGTGGCCCCACCTTGGGTGGAAGCTGCCCCTGCTTGGTTTTTTCCTGCACTCTCACTGGTGTAGGCTCTGGCCACAGAGGACTCTGGCTGCTGTTTTTCTAATACTAGCTTGAAGCAGGAGATAGGACTAGCAGAGAGGATTTGCCATGTTTCCAGAGGTGTTTTGTTTTTCCTAGGGCAATTACAGGTGATTTCCCATTCTGATAGATGTTGTTTCCAGGTGAATCTACTTTTGCCCTTATAGGAAGAAAAGAGATCTGAGAAGGAAAAATCCGAAAAGCTTTTCAGTTTTTGAGAGAAAGATTACTAAGTTTTTTAAGTCTTTCAATTCTTCCCTTGTCTGCCTCAAGGAAATTTTTTCCCTGTTGCTCAGGGCTTAAAGCTAAGCTACCCACAGGAATATTTTTCTGCCCATTTTATTTCATAGTATTTTTTCATGATTTTGATTCTTCCCCAGAAATTGGCATTCATTGTTCCAAGAACACAATTCTTCTACTTGTTGCTATACTATCTGACCATAAGCTTTTTCTACATAATATTCCTATATTCTACCTTATCCTAAGTTTCTTATGATATATTCCTACCTTACATTTTTTCCCTAATTTTTATAGATATAAATCAAGAAAAAGAGAAAAAAGAAAGAAACCTAACATTTCACTTTGGCATTTCTTTCAGCCTTACTTTATCTATACTTCCCAAAATAGAATACCCCCATACTACAAAACTGGACATGCCCAACTGATTCCTATGGGACCCCTAACCTACCTTTCATCAAGTCCCTGGTCCATGTTCCTGGAACCAACTGTGGGAGAGAAACAAAAACACAGTATAGCCTTGGGAGGGCCTGGATCCTAATCCACTGGCCCCTTCTGTCTCATCTAATGGGCCTTTTTATAGAAATGCCAAGGGCTGGAACAAAAGACAACCTTATAGCACAGCCAAGTGCAGACCCTTCCAATCACCTGGTAACCACTCACGTGATCAAGCAATTCTCTAATACAGCCCTGCTGGGTAAAGCAAGCTCAGATCTCACTAGGAAAACCTTTGTGGGCCTCTGCAATACCTGAACATGTATTTTCACAATTTGGATCATTATTGCATTTTCCATTTTTCTCATAGATGGCTACCTTTTAGTATTCATCCACACAATTTACAAAAAATAACTGAAGTTTAATAGGATGAGTATATTGAGCTTTCTAAAAATTTATATATAGACAGACTAGCAAAATACAAGAGTAGCAAAATGATTTCCTCTTTTTCTGAATACATTTTATTGACTTATGAACTTTAGTAGAAAATAAATATTTTAATCAGAAATTAAATATATCATATTTAGAAATGTCAAAGTAGTCTATGTTTGTGAAAAATAGTCATATTATGGCAAGTTCCTTCACTCAATGATTCCCTACTCATGCTCATGCACACAACTCTAAATAGATGCAATGGACCTAAAACAAACATAAAAGACATAAAAATAGGAGGTGAGCATATTGGGAAGAAGAAGGGGTTTGGTGGGAGGGAGAAGGGAATGGGAGACTGGAATGAGTGGAATACAATCAGAGGATAGCACACACACACACACACACACACACACACACACACACGCACATATATATAGTGTATGCTTTATGTAAATATATGTAATGGAAGTGTGAAGTAGTAAATAAAAAATATTTAAGAATAAAGAAAATACATTCATTTCTAAATCAAAATAATAATTTTCCAAACTGATCATGAAGTACTCTTGCAAAAATAACTAATTTTTGAAAAGTATCATATTCATGAAATATTTATGTAGGTAGGGTCAATTTTAAAAATAACTAAACCTGGTGAATTTTATATGTGCCTATAAGATTTTAAGTTTAAACCTTGAGAATTTAATTAATAGGAAGAGATTGGAATATATATATATATATATATTCAAATTTTGCAGTTGAGAAAAATTCATTAACCAAAAGCAATTTTCTGGGAACACCTAGCCCAAGGGAGAATGATAACATCTTGCGATTGTGTGTAACTATGAGTATAATTGACATTGTGATGCTGTTCATTTCTACCTTCGTACTTGTAGCTAAGAATATTTCCCTAAACTGTTTTTAGACATGAACTATCATCCACACAGACTGATCTCTAAAATCTTTTGTTTAGACTAAACTAAGAAAACGTAAATAAGCCCTAGGGAACATTCTGTACAAACATCATTTTCCTATTAACCCACACATATCCTTACCATTTTACAAGGACACATTTATCTTAACATAATGGTTTTAGCAGGAGAGGCTGTAGTTTTGTAGCTTTTATTGTTAAATCATTTCAATCATATAATTCTAACAAGTTACCATGAGAACTTAATAAAATATAAATATATTTATTTATTTTCTAATCAGTCTTTATTATTTTTCACTGAGGGGCTTTATGTTGCTTATGTTTTTTTTTTTTTTTTTTTTTTTTTTTTTTTTTTTTTTTT